AGCGTGTTTACGGCTCCTTAGACTCGGCTGTTCAGTCATGCAGTTTAACTCCAAAAATAACTCTCTTGGGGGATATTAATCCAGCGTTGGATTATCTTTCTAAAATCGTTAATCAGACTTGGTCCCTGAGGGACCTTCCAGCTGAACTTGCCACTTACTTCTCGTTCGCTGGGGCGGCGGGAGCCGAGGGGAGGAAGCTGATGAGGTTTGACAAGAAGCGGTTACTTACGTAAGGTCCCGAGCGGAGGGACCCGTCTGCCTCCGCTCCCGCTGCGATTCCCGGGGCTCAGCTCCATCCTGCCTTGTCCTGCCTGCCTTTCTGCCCTCCCTTCCCTTCGCCTTGAAGAAATGCCGTGGGGAAAACCTGGGAGAAGCTTGAGGGGGGGGATCTGCACCAGCTCCAGGTGATTCCTATATACGCTGCCTTTTGTCCAGGGAGGAGAAAGCACATGCTTTGTTTTATTAAATTCTCAAATGCACGTGGCATTCCTTCGGTTGCTTTTTGATCATTAACTTCCTTACTTTGAGCTGTTGGTGAAATGACCTGGCCTGCTGTTCAAATATAACCTCTCCTCTCTAAAAGAAAAAATGAGCTGTTGTAGGCTGCCGTTTTCATATATGACTAGAACCACGAGTCACATAACTCCTATTAGCCTGCGTTTTTATTCCTGCTTGTAGAGTAAGAATAGAGTGTATTTCTTGAGAGATGTGCTCTGATAGCCTTGAGTTATTTAAAGTACTTTAAGATTCTTGTATGGAAAGCACCAGGGAAATTGCAAAACAAGTTGTTGTTTTGTTTTTTTTTAAAAAAAAGAGTTCTACTGTGAACTAATTTTGTACACAAATAAAATCCCATTTTCCATATGCAATGCATAGGTAGAAGGGGAAAATTCAATATATTTTAGTGACATACGTGCTCCCTCAGAGCCAGACAGGTAAATTGAGAGCTTGTGTGTCTGTGCTGATGCATTTTTGCATTAAATGTAACATACTTTGATTTCCAGCTTGAGTGTTTATCGCTCTGACTTGGTAGACCACTGGAAGCGCTGCATAGCATGGCTGAAATGCAGAAATATCCTGTATATGGTGATAACAGTAACTCACAGGATTTGCACTTTAATGGGCTAATCTGTCATAGTTCTGAAAAACCCTAGTGATGTAAGAAAGTGTACTCAAGTGGTAGGGATGTTTTGGTTGTGGTTTTTTTTTCCCCTCCAATTATAAAATAACGTGCTGCTGAGCATGGAAGTTGCTTAAACCTCCTCCAGGCTACAGCTGCCTGGAAAATAATGGGAAGTTGCCTTCCTTTTCCAGGAAAAAGGCTGGCATAACAAAAAGCCAGGACTGCGACTGGCCAACTTTCCTTGACTCTTCTTTCTTTCTAGTTTTTCATTCACATCGTGAAAATTGCTTACTAAATCGGAAGCATTTCACACCAGGGATCGTGCCTTCCTTGTTTTACTGGGCAGTCTCATAACACGCTGTGTGCCGCTGGAATAAATAGTAGGTAATTTGGAATTGTCAGCACTGTGGATTTTAGAATTTTCTTTGCGATCATAATTTTACGATGACAGCTAAACATCTCTTTTGGCCTAAAAAAAAAAAAAAAAAAGGAATATCTGTTTCTGGCATTGCCACATAGGTAGAACAAAACTAAATTGTCTTTTGGATGCTGCATTTGATTCATAAGATTATAAACTAGGAAAAAAAAAGTCAGCACATTTGACTGGGATGTCCACTGAGAAACAGAAAGAAGCTTGTAGTGATGATTTTATATATGCTTTTCAGCATTCAGACTACACTGATGTCTCAGAGTTGGTCGTCTCCTGGTGGGAGAAGTGAAACTACATCCATTTGTTAAAGATCTGTCACTTTGCTTTGTGTTTTATGACTGTATAAGCATACGTATATTAATAATTATAATTATGTAGGAGATCTGTGCTAGCCTACATTAAAAACTAGTCACTTTGAAATTGTCTTCTGAATGCCGCAGCAGACTTCTCTTCTACCTTGCTTTGGAATGCAAATGCTTATTTTCCATAACTGAATTTGATCAACTTTCCTTGACTCTTCTTTCTTAAACCATTTGCTTTCCTCCTGTGTGACTCGTTAAGACGGACCGCAACTCGCTAAAGCAAAATGGGGATTAATGCCCGCATTTGTCTGTGAGAGTGGAAGTTTTCTGCAAATTTATTGCTGCATGATGTTGTTTTGCTTTTGTAGTCGCGGCCAGTGGTCATCAATCAGCGTTTTTTTTCTCCAGATTCATTGTGAGCTTTGGAGTTAGCTGAGCTCCTAGGGACTGCGAGTTACCTTCCCTTTGCCTCTCGTGTTGAGACGGGACAGTGCTCCGAGTTACTTCCCTCTCTTCCCAGTTAAAAGAAAGTGTGTTTCCTCATGCGTTGGGTGGATTCTATAGTTTTTATAGATCTCCCTTGTCTGTCTCTCTAGATATGTGGCCTATGGATGATTTTGATTTTTTTTTTTCCTGCCCATGAAAACTGTAGAAGAAACATGATGAGGAGGAAAATAAAACTGTGGAAAAGAAGAGCTTACTCATCTGAAGCTATGCTCAGTCAAGTTAGTCTGGCAGGACCTGCTGATGCTCTTTTTGTGTTGTGGCCAGTAAACTCCAGGTTTGACTGAGGCTTCCAGTGTCCCTCTGGCCAGGGATGCGGTGCCGTGCCAGGGATGCGGTGCCGTGCCAGGGAGCGGGGGGAGAAGCCTGTCAGTCAGTCACTGGGTCAACCAGCTCTGCTTAAGTGCTTAAGTTTAATACCAAAATGTCGCTAGGCTGAGACTACCGAGGACTGTTCTGCCGAGGAGGTGGGAAACATCGTCACTGTGAGTGTGGGAGCAAAAAGGCGCCAAGGTCTCAGTTTCATTTGACTGTCGAGGTGGATTAACAGCTTATTGCTGCCAACAAGTCTCGCTTCTCCTCCCCGCCACGTTGTGCCACCTCTGGGAAGCTGTTTGACTTGAACGTGGTAAAAACGAGATGATTGAAAATACTTTTTTGGGGGTTGGTTGAGTCAGTGTGCTGCACAGCGAGGGGAAGTGCTCGTGGGAGATGGAAATGGTGGGAGCGTGGGGTGTCAGGGGAGAGAGGTGGCGGGGACTTTGCATCCCCTCAGGCTCTGGGGGGGAAAGACGGCCAAAAGGGAATGTCTGACTATTCTTAATGACCAGAAAACCAATTGCAGGCTTTAGTTGTGTTTATTCCCAGTCCCTGTAACATCTACCAAATGTGGACAATATCACCGTGTTTCTTAATCACGTTGTTTAGTCTTTCAAGGCACTTCCTGCAATCCAGTCTTATTTATAGACCGTCCATTGTCTTATTTACTGCCTTGTGCTTTACTTTGTGGTGATGTGCGATCCTGTTGGCATCAGAACTGCCATTGTTGGGAATAAATTGCTGGGGTGTTAAAGTTCATAAATTGCCTTTATAGTATGTGTTGAGACCCCTATGTAGAATGTGGCAGGGCTCGCCAACGACGGAGGACTGAGGCTTTTCAGAGTAGACCAGAGGAGGCACAGGAAAAAAGGAAAAGCAGAGCCGTATACATGCAGGTTGGATGCACTCCCACTTACAGTTACTGTGAGACGAAGGTACGGAATTTCTTGGTAAAGGAATGGTTCCATTATTTTGTTGAGACTGATCTGAGTTCATGCTTCTGCTGCGGTTGGAGAAGGGTGGTTAGACTGGGCTAGTTGAAGCGGTGACTGACGGCGGTTGGAGCCTTTTTTTCCTGTACCTGTTTGTGGCTTTTGGATGTCTGGTATATTCTGTCAGCTCATCTCTTGCCTTAGCTCTTTCAAAGGGTACGTGTGCAAGCATGTGTCCATGCTTTCACCACTTCCTTCTCTTTTCTGCTAAGAAGAAGTGGGACTGCACCCCTGGGGGTTTCTAGAGTTTCTCTCATTTTGTCGTACGTGATGGCGTCGGCACAGGAGGACTCGGCAAAGCAAGGAGGGACCTCGCAGCTTGCAGAAGGGTGCCCGGGTTGCCGTGGCTGAGGATTGCAGAGCTTTGCTACTTCAGCGGCAGCCCTGATACCACTGAGCTGGGAGAGGGGTGCAGAAGGTTTGCCTGCAAGCTCAGAAAGGCACTACACCCACTTGAAAAATACTTGTTCTTATTGCGAGGTTACAAACTTTGATGAACCAAAAGAGGCAGAACTTATATTCTGCAAAACCTGAGGATTTGGTTCTTCCCCTTTCTTTTCCTTCCCCAAAATTCGCAGCCTGTGCTATTTGACATGAGATCCCATTGATATTCATATTCTTGCAGAAGTATGACGTTTTCTGTAGCTGGTTATATCACTGTTTAATGTATACTATATCCTTGTGTATTCACGTGTCTGAGATTTACCATAAAGGAGTATTTATACATGGGTATCTCTGGATCTGTTAGGTGAGGATATGCGTGCGTATGTATATGTGGAAACGGCTGTGTGTTCTGCCTTCCTCCTGACATCCTGGTTGCTATAGTGCAGTGATCTATTTGTGAACACCCAGAAGATCATCGCTATAGTTAAAAGAAACAGTATTTCCTGGCCATAACTTCCTGGGCAATCTCTTCTCCTGGAGCACCAGCTTTAACCGATTCGGTCACGTTCCCTGGGACTCCGGGAGTGACACTGTAATGGGAGCTTCCTCTACTTTGTCGCTTTTCCCCACCGGCATATTTAATAATATTTAAAAATAGTTTCTCTATTGAAATCTAATGCATGCTGATTATTCACTGTACATTTCAGTGCTTCAGCCATCTTTCTAATAGACTGTCAAGCTGTGCAGCGTATTGTGGCGTTGTGTCCTGTGTTTGCTTCTGTAATATGTGCCGTTCCTCTGCTCTTGCACATACATACACGCATACGTTTTCATCCACCTACCCAGCCAGGCAAAATGCGGGAGACGAAGCGGCAGTGCTGGAGTTCTGTCTGAACTGCTGTATTATTTTTTTTTCTTAATTTTTTTTTTTTTCCCTTCTGCTGCAGGTGTGAATGAGAGAGACTCTCTGCAGTATTTAGTGTCCAGTTGTACTGGCTCCGAAGAACAGCAGCATCGCAATGCCCCCTCCTGCTGATATAGTGAAGGTGGCGATCGAATGGCCAGGTGCCTTCCCCAAGTTAATGGAAATAGATCAAGTAAGTGCCTGCGTCCCTGCGCTCGGCCGCCCTGTGCATAAATAAGTTCTCCGCGCATGTGTGTCTCTGCATTTAGGTTTACTTAGGTGCACACGTATGTTTCTGTGAGTGCATGTGTGGTAGAAGGGGTTTTTTATATGGGGGGTAACCCTCTTTCGCTTTTACTGCTTAATGTTTTTGATGTGTTTAGCATTTTTGGGGTTTTTTAATTTGCTTTTTCTTTTTGAACAGCTGCTTAAATAAGGCATTTACTGCTTGTGTGACCCACTTAACACTTGCGTACCTTAGTTTATTCAACTGTAAAATTGTGGTAATGTTGTTACCTCTGGGTGGAAAGTATTCAAATTTTTAGTCAGTGTTTTGCATTTGGAGTAGGATCATACTGAATGGTTGCAGCTAGTGCAGATTTTGGCACTTAAGTCGTGGTGCACTGTGAGCAGGGGGATCTTTGCTGTTCCATACAGGAATCTCAGGGGTTGTCCTGCTTAGCTGGTTATTTCTAATGGAATGGCCCCCGGGACTGATTGGAGTCAGCGTACAGAAGCTCACAAATTCAAAATTACGAATTAAAGAGTCTTTGTAGGAAATTCGGGCGAGGGGGGGTGGTTGGGAAGGAAACAAAGCAAATCAAGTTATACAAGTGCTGTGTTCTGGACTTCTCTGAGGTTTTTTATGGGGCACAGGTATTAATATTAAAAGCAACCTCTTTAATATTTAACAGCTTACCCATAACGTTTTGAAATCATACAACATGTTACCTGTTTAGAATAATTATTATTTCTGTAAATAGTGTTCAGAATGAAGGAAAGCATTTCATGATGTGCTTTAGATTCTAGTGTATCTGGGGACCAAGTACATTATAAAGTTCTATTGGAGGGGGGAAAATTTGAATTCATGCTGAAAATGTTTTACTGAAATGGGATCCTAATTTCTTCATGCAGTGCAATCAGTTTCACTTCTAGTTAACCCTTGTGTGGCATATGCCTGGGAAATTCCTGTGTGAACTTTGGAGAAACACGGTACTGGAGAGTGGCTGGAACAGCAGCAGTATGATTTTTAGGCACTCGGAAAGCCCCTTTAGAGGAAAGATGAGTTCCCAAGCCATTAGCACTTTGTAGTTTGGTTTCCAGACCTGCTAAGCTTCTCCATTTTCATTTGCTGAAGTTTTTTAGTAAGTGTATATCTACAGATACAAATCTTTTGCCTTCTGGAGTGAAGAATGTTTTACTTTTTTCTTCTTATATAACAAACGGTAGACACTGTATGCACTGTGTTCAGGGGAAGATGCATGTTAGTCGTGATGAACAACAGCTTATTGCTACCATGTACAGCGGGCACAAAAATGAACAAGTATTATGCAGTCTCCTTCCAAGCAGCAGTAAAATAATACCAAGATGTTTGTTTTTAATTTACAAAATGGCTTAAAGTAACTCTCAAAAAAACCTCGTGCCTTATCTGAAATACTAGCTTACTGTCTCCCAGCCTTGTTTTTACCTTCATTATATAAGATTTAAAGGGACAAAAGAGATCAATGCCAACTTATGTTGGGTAGAACTCTTCCAACCCAGCCTGCCAAGTTGTCTGCAAGCTTCCTCATGCCACTTTATGGGAGGAGGAGGAAAAAGAGGGAAAATAAGGTTGAAAGGGAGAAGGCTAACAGAAGCCTGCTCCTGATGCAGGGGGAAATGGGGGAATGAAGTTTTGAGGGTCTCATCCCTCACCTTTCTGACATGGAATATGCAGGTGGGGTGACAAGAAATGAGGCTGGGAAAGAAACATCCTTTCCTAATACCCAAGCATACAAACCTGCAGATTTGCCTTTTTCAGGGATGGGAGCAAAGTGGGAATGAGTGCTGAAGACGTGCAGGGTGATACATGCTTCTAATCACACAGCTCTGCCTTTGGTTCACTTGATGCTAACTTTTTCTCAGTCTGTTTCCTTTAAAACATCTATTTAGTTGAAGAGCTGTAGTGGTGGAGATGATTCATAACTCAGATGGCTAGCTGTCGGAGATGATAAAGGGGAGGAGGGAAGAGGAAGGCAGAAAAGAGAAATGACTTGCCCGTTGACCGGACGCTGCAGCCAGTGGCTGTCTCCCAGGTGGGATCTGCTCATTCAAGTACCATTTGACATGGATACAGAAAACCCTGAAAACTTTGCCTTACCAGTTTCTTACCTCTCTGATCCCTTACCAGCCAGAAAAACAGTATTTAAAAGAACAGCACTGTATTATATTACTTTAAAAATAACGACAAAAAACCATCACTGTACCGTGATGCAAGTTCTTTATCTTTCAGGGTGCTGAGGCTATTCCAAATATTGAAGTACAAATATCATATAAGAGATGAGAGGAAAATCTGGATTTTTTTTTTTTTAGGTCACTTGTATACGCTTGGTAGCATTTATTTATATTCAGTTGCACAGTATGCTAATTCACCTGCTGTGTATATGCCTATTTTGCTTAGCAATGAAGAGAATAAAATATTTTCAAAATCAGCAAATGTCATTGTGAAACCACAGTGATTGACAGTGGTGTACTGGAAGGTGTTAGGCCTGAAAAGAGCTCATGAGTATTTTTTCCACCAAATGTTATTAAACTTTACATTAAAAACCTCCCCTTCGGGTGCATGACTTCTGAGAACCTGGACTTCACGAGGCACAGACTTTTTCTAGTTGATGCTTCCCACTACGTTTCTGTAGGTTTGTCGACCTGGGTTCATCAATGACAGTTTTAATTTTAATCATGCAAAATTAGTCTCCCTGAGTTAGGGAGACTCTTTGGCTGCACAATTAATATGTAGTTAAGTGCTTTTCAGAACCAACCTCTGTGCCTAAACTTTGTTCTCATTCATTGAAAGGTACTATTTGACGTCGGGGTTTTACAACTGCTTTTTTTTCCTGGAAAGTTGTTTTAAACAAGGAGAGCGAAACTACGTATTTTTTACTGCCCTCTTCCTTACCAGGTAGGGGACTAGTTAAGTTGCAGTAAACCTAGCAACTGGCAGTTGCCCGTATGCATTAAAGCTAATTATAAAGCATGTGCAAGCTAATGTACTTTTCTGCTTTCTCCTTGAGAGATGGACTTGACTGAATTCAGTTACTCTCTTCCAGAATACTTGGTTTTTATCATTTGGGTTTCCCTCTATTTCTATCACTTTCCTTAATTATAAATTTGAAAAATAACATCTAGACTCTTCCCTCCTGCATAAATCCCTACTGGCAATGTTAGTACTTGGATTGGGCTGGCATGGCAAGGTTTTGGTAGTGGGAGGGCTGCAGGGGAGGCTTCTGTGAGAAGCCCCTGAGGAGGAAGGAGCAGCAGAGACAGCGGGTGATGAACTGACCCCAACCCCATTCCCCATCCCCCTGAGCTGCTCAGGGAGGAGGGAGAGAAATCGGGAGTGAAGTTGAGCCCAGGAAGAAGGGAGAGCTGGGTGGAAGGTGTTTTTAAGATTTGGTTTTATTTCTCATTACCCTACTCTGATTTGGTTAGTAATAAATTAAACTGATTTCCCCAAGTGGAGTCTGTTTTGCCCATGATTGTAACTGGCGAGTGATCTCCCCTTGCCCTTACCTTGACCCACAGCCTTTCATTGTATTTTCTCTTCCCCTCTCCAGCTGAGGAGGGCAGTGATAAAGCAGCTTGGGGGGCACCTGGCCTCCAGCCAGGGTCACCTGTCAGAGTACTGTGGTCAAAATTAATTTTTAATGGAAAGATTTGATTATGACTTTAGGAGCTGGGTATAGGGATGATCTTCCACTTTGAAGTCTTCCTGTCATGTAAGGGGAGGAATGGAAATGTGTTGGTGTCTGAATTTGCATTGGGATCTTCTTGTGGACTTTTTAGGGGTGCGATCTGGGGAAGAAATGAATGATAGACACTGACTGCCTGTTATCTTCTCCTCTCAATCTGCTGGCTGATTATTCTGGAAGATGTGAAGAGTAGGGCCCTACAGGCTCTGTACAGGTGAACCAGGGTGCGGGCTACGCTATCCTGTCTTCTCTATTTGTCCCAGAAATAGCCATTTCCTAAGAGAATGTTATTTATTGTGTTCGGATGGATATTTGCATGCTTTAATTTGTGCCCATTATGTATAACTCATTCTCAACTGTACGTCTTTTTTTACAGCACAAATTATTTTAGGTAAGCCAGTGCTGCTTTTAGGTTACCTGGATACTTCGTTCTGTGGATTTACAGCTTCACTGTTCCTGCTGCAGGGGAAGCAGCTTCCAGGAGAGGCACAGGATAGATATTTGGGGACAATAACTATTTTAACTTATCCCACTCAGATCCACTCTTGGGTGTTAACACAGGCTGTACTAAAACCAGATTTCTCTAAACTCCGAGATGAACTTCCTCACCACTGGAGGTAAACACCGTTCCTACAGAAAGGAATGGTTTGTAATTAAACTTGGCCATACAGTCACTTCCTCCAGGTTTACTTTTATCTATGAGATCATTAAATATAGATTAAATTAGCAGATGTGAATCTTTACTTAGCCAGAAAAAAAATTTTAGAAAAAAAACCAAAGCTTTGTTTTCTTTTCAAAGCACAGATCTGGTACAGTGGGCAAAGTTTACAGGAGCACTGTCGAATGACAGTTCCATGTTAATGCAGTGCAGTGCAGCACATGGGAGGAACCATGGGCTGCTTTACATTAATGCTTTCTCTAAGGTTTAGATTTAGTCAGCAAGTTTATCTTTTAAGAGTGTCTTTCAAGTTGTCTCTTCTTTCCTGCCATGTATGCTATAAATGTCAGTTTCATAGTTTTATTTTTTTCTTCAGAGAAGTCATTGTACTTCACTGCATATTAAAAGGAAACCAGCAAGATTTTTTTTTTTTAAAAGGAACTTTCAAATCGTTTTGGATTTCAGACCTAAATCTGGACCCTTGGGGATTGTTAATTGATTTAGTGCAGTGTTTCTCAAACTGTGGGGAGAAACGTAGTTCAAAAGGGATTGTGAAATGGTTAATTAGAAGGAAAAAAAAAAAAGCAC